AAATCTTGAAAGAACCCTAAGGAGGAAAAAGCAGTCTTCCTGTAGAGGGGCTAGAATGAAAATTATAGTAAACTGCTGGGCGCGGTGGCTCACGCCTGTAATCCCAGCACTTTGAGAAGCCGAGGCGGGCGGATCACCTGAGGTCGGGAGTTCGAGACCAGCCTGACCAACATGGAGAAATCCCATCCCTACTAAAAATACAAAGTTAGCCAGATGTGGTGGCACATGCCTGTAATCCCAGCTACTCAGGAGGCTGAGGAGGAGAATCACTTGAACCTGGGAGACAAGGTTGCAGTGAGCCGAGATTGCACCATTGCACTCCATCCTGGGAAACAAGAACGAAACTCCGTCTCAAATTAAAAAAAAATTATAGTAAACTTCTCCTCAGAAAGTATGCAAGCATTGGTAGCAAAACAGGATGACTATAGTTAACAATAATTGAGTTTATATTTCAAAATAACTACAGGAGTGAAATTGGAATGTTCCTAACACAAAGAAATCATAAATGTTTAAGGTGATGGATAGCCCAGCTACTCTGATTTGCTCATTCACATTGTACACTTACATAAAAATATAGCATGTACCCCATGAATACGTGCAACTAGTATGTATCCATAAAAATTTTAAATTAGAGAAAAATAATTTAAAAAAGAAAGTATGCAAGCAAAAACACAGTAGTATAAAATATTTAAAGTGTTAGCGGGAAAAACCATCAACCTAGGATTCTATATCCAGGGAAATTATCCTTCAAAAATGAAGAAGCACTGGGCATGGTAGTGTGTGCCTGTAGTGTTAGCCCTTTGGGAAGCTGAGGTAGGAGGATCCTTTGAAGCCAGAAGTTCGAGACGAGCTTAGGCAACATAGCAAGAGCTCATGTCTATGAAAAACTTAAAACATTATCCAGGTATGGTACTATGCACTGGTAGTCCCAGCTACTTGAGAAGCTGAGGCAGAAGGATCACATGAGCTCAGGAATTGGGGGTTGCAGTGTACTATAATCCTACCTGTGAATAGCCACTTCACTCCAGCCTGGACAACATAGCAAGATACCATCTCTTAAAAAAAATGAAGAAGAAATAGATACTATAAGACAAACAACTGAGGAATTTGTCATCAGCTGACTTCCCTTGCAAGAAACGTTAAAAAAAATTTTTTCAAGCAGGACAGTAACACATATCAGAAACTTGGATCTATATGAAGCAAAGAAGGGTGTCAGAGAAGGTATAAATGAAGGTCAAATAAAAATCATATTTTTCCTATTCTTAATTGATCTAAAAGATAACTGTTTAAAGTAACAATAGTAGTCAGTATTTAATGATTATAGCATGTCGATAAATGACATAAATGATAGCAATGTCAGAAGGCTGGAAGGGAGGACTCAGGAATACTGTTTTTAAGGCACCTGCACTACACATGAAGCAGAAATAGTGTTATTTGAAGGTAGATTTAGTTTAGTTTTGAGAATATCCTGTAAACTCTAAAGAGAACTGCTTAAATTTTTTTTTTCAGATGAAGTTTCACTCTTGTTGCCCAGGCTGGAGTGCAATGAAGCAATCTTGGCTCACTGCAACCTCTGCCTCCCAGGTTCAAGTGATTCTCCTGCCTCAGCCTCCTGAGTAGCTGGGATTATAGGCACGCACCACCACACACAGCTAATTTTTTTTTTTTTTTTTTTTTTTTTTTTAGTAGAGACAGGGTTTCACTATGTTGGCCAGGCTGGTCTCAAACTCGTGACCTCAGGTGATCTACCCACCTTGGCCTCCCAAAGTGCTAGGATTACAGGTGCCTAGCCTAAAATTTTTTAAGAAGAATTTTTTACTGATATTCTGAGAGAAGATAGAATTTTTAAAAATCATATAAATTGCTCAGAGTGCAGAAGCAGTAGCATCTGTAAATGAATAAAAAGCAGTTACAAACATGGTCAATATTAATCCAAATATAGTAACAATCACTTTAAATATGAATGGCTTAATACACTAATTAAAGGACAGAGATTGTCAGAAGGGATAAAAGAAGAAGATCCAATTATATGCTGCCTACCAGAAATATACTTTAAATATAAAGACTCCAAAGTTTAAAAATAAAGGGATGGAAGAAGTTATACAATGCACTGATCAAAAGAAAACTGGAGTAGCGATGTTAATTCCAGACAAAGAAGACTTAGAACAGGGAAAATTGTTAGGAATAAACAGGAACGCTACCTAATGACAAAGGGAATTAGTTCTCCAAGAAATGTACATGCACCTGATAACACAGTGTCAAAATACATGAGGCAAAAACAAATAGAAATAAAAAGAGAAAAAGACAAATCCACTGTAGAGATGGAGAATTCAAAACCCTCTGTCAGTAACTGATAGATCTAGCAGGAATACAATACATAAAGGATATAGTTGATTTGAAGAACACTATCAATCAACTTGATCTGACTGGCATTTATAGAATACTCTACCCCATAATAACAAATACACATTCTTCTCAACCTCACCTAGAATGCTCACCAAGATAAGACCTCAAAACACATCTTAACAAATTTAAAAGAATAAGAACACACAACATATGTAATTCTAAATTAATAGTATTGTTACATAACGGACACATTCTCTAAAGAATATCTACTTTCCTTCACTTTTATTGTTTGCTCATGTGAAAGGAAAAATGAATCTTGGGACCCCAAAACCACTAAGCTAAAGGGAAAAGTCAAGCTGGGAACTGCTTAGGGCAAACCTGCCTCCCATTCTATTCAAAGTCATCCCTCTGCTCACTGAGATAGATACATATCTGATTGCTTCATTTGGAAAGACTAACCAGAAACTCAAAAGAATGCAAACATTTTTCTCTTATCTACCTTTGACCAAAAAGCCCCCTCCCCACTTCGAGTTGCCCTGCCTTTCTGGACCAAACCAGTGTACAGCTTACATATATTGATTGATGTCTCATGTCTCCCTAAAATATATAAAACCAAGCTGCCCCCAAACCACTTTGAGCATGCCATCAGGACCTCCTGAGGCTGTGTCATGGTGTGTGTCCCTAACTTTGGCAAAATAAACTTCCTAAATTGACTGAGCACTGTCTCAGATATTTAGGGTTCACACACAACAATATGCCTTCTGATGATCTCTTCTGCCTAGCTAATGCCTGCTAATACTCAGCCCAAACTTAAAGATTAAAAACTTTAATACAGTATAATAAAAGCATAAACAAAGTTAATCATTGAAAAGTAATCTACAGCCAGGTGCAGTGGCTCACGCCTGTAATCCCACCAATTTGGGAGGCTGAGGCAGGCAGATTGTTTAAGCCCAGGAGTTCAAGCCTGGGCAATGTGGCAAAACCCTGTCTCTAAAAAGATACAAAAATTAGCAAGGCATGGTGGCACACACCTGTTGTCCCAGCTAGTCAGAGGGTTCAGGCAGGAGGATTGCTTGAGCCTGGGAGGTTGAGACTGCAGTGAGCTTTAATTGAGCCACTGCACTCTAGCCCGGGTGACAGAGTGAGACCATGTCTCAAAAAAAGCAAGAAAAAAAAGAAAAGAAATCTATGGAAAATAATGCAATATTTATGACATAAAGGATTAATGCCCATAATATAAAAATCGATTTTATAAATCAATAAAAGAGCACATTCATTCTTGACTTAACTTATTCTCTATACAGTAGCCAAAGTAGTGTCTTTAAAATCCAAATCTAGCCATGCCATTTCCCTACTTGAAGTCCTTCAATGGTTTCACATTGATCTTAGAATGAAGTTCAAAAGCCTTAACAAGATCCACATGATCTGGTCCTTATCTATCTCTAGATTGGTCTCCCATTACCCTTCTCCTGTCTTTCTCAGGACTCTAGCCACACTGGTCTTTTCTCAGCTCTTCACACCTTAAAACCTTTGCATATACTGATTGCTTTGCCTGGAACCACCCCACCACCACCACCCTCTTCGACTAATGCCCACTTTTCCTTCAGATCTCAGCTTAAACATCATTTCTCATGAAAGTCTTCCATCATCAATTCTGGATTGGTTCAGATCCTCTGCTATTTGCTCTATAAACCTGAACAAACAGAATAATGTTTCTGAACCTTCAGAACTCCAAACAAGACCCTGAGAAGTGAACCTTCCAAGGAATGTGAGGTTCCAGACAAAGCCTCTAGAATCTTCTTATCTATAGTAGTCAGTGTTGTTGAGGAAGCTCAGGAGAAAGTTAAGATGAGCAAGTCTAAGCTATTCATCCTGTACTTTTTTTGAGTATAAACAACTTTGAGAACTTAATAAAATCTATGGGATTCATTTCTTCTTCTGGAGATTTCTCCTCCCCCAGAAAAAGGCACAGAAGCAAAACTTTGTGTAACGTTATCAATGTTGCAAAGTTCCCCTAACATACATTCATCCATTTATTCACCTCACATTAAGAACTCCAACCATCGGATGGTATGTATTTGTCACAGGCTGAAAAAAAAATCAGCCCAGTGAGAATCTCATAAAACAAGCACATTGTTTCCCTAGCTTTGTTCATTTAATCATTGACTATCTACAGTATAGTGATTCCAGCAATAATAAAGCTTTATAAATGAAATTTGCTTTACAATTTAAAAGAAAATAAAGACTTTTCATATGCATTGTCTCACTCTTCCCCCAAACCCAATAAAGTGGGCATAGATTACTCTACCTATTTTGCAAATGAGAAAACATAAGTAATCCCAGGGAACACGAGTGATCTGGCTCACGCAACTCAGCCAAAAAGGAGTGAAATCCAGGAGTAAAATGTACTCTTTTAACCCTAAGCCTGGCTCTTTCCTTTCATGTTGATACTGACTCCAAGGTCCAGTGGGTGGTACTAGGACTTGTCCTTAGTAATCTGATAATAATCCCAGGGGCCACAGTCTCAGCCTCCAGTTCCCATGGTGGTCAGCCTCACGCTCTCATATTACAGGTGATGATGCAATTTTGCCAATCAATGGTCACAGCAGCAGGACTCCCCTAATGTTTAGGGGAAGTAGCCAGAGCTCTTCATCCCCTTTCCGGAGAGCGTAATAGCTCACATTTATTGAGTTCTTAGTACATGCCGGGCACTGTTCTAGGCTTTTTACATGAATTAACTCATTAAATCCTCAGAACAAAACCATGAGGCAGGTACTATTATAATATTATCTCCATTTTGTGGACACTTAGGAGAGATTAATTTGCCCGAGGTTACACAACTAATAATTTTCAGAGTCAAGATTTGAATCCTGGAGCCTGTGCTCCTAACCAAACCACCATCTGCCTCTCCTGGGCCCATTGTTCTTAACTTCTTGGGGTCAAGTATACTGGAGAGAATGTGATTAAAGCCCTGGACCTTCTCCCTAGGAAAATGCAGGTAAGCAGAATTTAGCATATTTCAGGGACTTTGGGGACACCTAAGACCCATCGTCTGTCGACCTCAGGCTTAGAATCTCTATTTATCTCATACATCCTGGAGAGAATCGTCCAGGGACAAAAACAGAAGCGCCGCCAGCGCCGCAGGACTTCGCCCCTGCAAACGTGTGAGGAGAGCTGCGCTGCGCTAAGCTGCGTGGTGACGGAGATGCCCGTTCTCTCGGAATCAGGAACGGTGAGCTCCCAGGACTGCAATGCCCTGAGAACGCAGCCGGGTCGCTGAGCCTCCGGAGTCCGGTAGCTGAATGAAATACGCAGGGATCACCAGCCGGACCCAAATCTTGCGTCCCTGCCAGCATCCTGGAGTCCTAAGAGGCAGGGATTGGAGCTGACAGGATCTCAGAACTCTGGTCCCAGGCGCACAACGGCGGAGTCGCTGTTCCTGGTGCTGAAACACTCTGTCCTGGAAGAGCGTGGCCGCCTGCCCGCCTGGTACCGCGCCGCGGCCGCTGCGGGGAACTGTCCAGTGCTGAAAACGGATGCGGCCCGGCCCGCAGGGCTCAGACCCGAGCCTGCCGCACCCAGCGGAACTCGGACCGAGCTCCTGGAAGCACTGACGCAGAGCGCAGGGAGAGTCGGAGTGGCGAGCTCCAAGTCGGGCATGGACCTGCAGAGACCCGATTCCTACCAGGGAGGAGCTGGCCCTGACTTCAACGAGCACGTCCTACATAAGGTAAATATCTCCTGTATTTCCCAACCTAACCGTTGGAACAGGCGCCAGCACCAGGAGTTTTCTCCACTCCCCTGACTTTGCTTTGGGACTTAATGAGAAACTAGCTTGTATCTATGAGTCTGGGGAGCCCTTTCTGTCTGATCCTGTTTCCTGCTCAAAATAGAGATGGGTGAGCTCTTGGGGAAGGGCTGCCTCCAGAGGCTCAGATGGTCAGAAGCTTCATTCATTCACTTAAATCATCTGTGTTCCTTTTTCACCCCTCCTTCTCCTTGCCTATTTATGCCCCTGTATGCCCCCTGGCACCTTTGCTCTCCTAACCCTTGTAGGAGACTGCATTTGTCCCTGTTACGTCTGCTAGCAGTGGCCAAACACCTGAATTTCTGGCCAATTTGTCTGAAATTAGAGAAATGGTCTGCAGCAGAGATGAACTGCCGTTTTCAAACCAGACTCCCTCATGGCTCCAGAAAGCTTCCCTCCAGCCATGACTCACTCACAGCCCCTGTAAGCATTTGCTTATTTCAAAGCACTAACACATCCATTGCTTCCTTCATTCAAGTTTCTTATGCAACTCAGTTTTCAGTAAAGCAGGTCTCCCCCTAAGACAGTTGGAGGGGAAAATAGTAGCCTCTCTCAGGATAACAGTTTTAATTCAAAATCCATCACTCTGAAAGAATCAAAGCCTTATATTTGCCATAATAAGTTATGGCTCACCTTCCCTTTCTCTGACTTTCCCATGCCCTCCTACTCCAGCCCTTATAATTTCTGCTTTGATAACACCAGTTCACCTGTTAGTCCCTTGAAAGGCTGTATGTGATCCTGTAGGTGGAGTTTTTTAATCAAAACATCACTTTGAAGAGTCTATGAATGAAAGCTTTGAAATAACCTAACCCAACCTCCTCCTCTATCACACAGCTTTTATTTGAGGAAATTAAAACCCAGAGAGGAAAAATGACTTGTCCAAGAAAGCAAGTTGGTAAATGGCAGAGCTGATACTAAAAGCCAGAAATTACTACTCCACATGTAGTATTCTTTCCTCTATATCCTTACTAAACTTCTCATCAAAGTATTCAGTCCATGGACCAGCAGCATTGGCATTACCTGGGAACTTATTACAATAGAAAGCAGAATCTCAGCCCTGACCCTAGAGTGGCTGAATCTGAATCTGCATTTTAACAAGATCTCTAGGAATAAATATGCACAATAAAGTTTTAGGTGCATGGCTCTGTGCCATGCTGCCTGTTTCTGACACAAATGAAAGAAAATCAGCTACTGAAGGAAGCAGGTCTGTAGATCTGACAGTCCATGTATCTTCTCCCTCCAGGTCTCTAAATTACTAGGATATAGGGAAGGAGAAAAAAATGTATAACCACTACCCCAGTCTAGAAATTTTAAAGTCATCACAGTTTGAAGTAAACTAGAAGTTCTGTGCTATTTGATGTTGTAAAGTTAGCCCAGTAAAAAGTGCATGCGAGGCCGGGCATGGAGGCTCACACCTGTAATCTCAGAACTTTGGGAAGTTGAGGCTCACTTTGGATCACTTGAGGTCAAGGGTTCGAGACCAGCCTGGCCAACATGGTGAAACCCATCTCTCCTAAAAATACAAAAATTAGCTGGGCATGGTGGTATGCACATCTGATCCCAGCTACTCAGGAGGCTAAGGCAGGAGAATTGCTTGAGCCTGGGAGGCAGAGGCTGCAGTGAGCCAAAATCATGCCCCTGCACTCCACTCTAGCCTGGGCAACAAAGCAAGACTTTGTCTCAAAAAAAAAAAAAAATGTTTATGCAAGCAGAGGAACATAATTACAAATCAATTACAAAATTGTCCTGGCAACTAGATAAGTGAGTCTCTCCAAGTTTATACCATCCTATAAACGTATAAATATTCATTTTGAAAGCTTTAAGATTGGGAGCTCAGATTATTCAAAATATTGATCAGATGTGGTATTTTCCATTTCAATTGCCCACACATGAGATGTAGGATGTAGTTCATGAAAACTTTTACTTCCTTTGAGTTTATTGATCACCAAATTGAGAGTGGGAACCCATTCCAACGAGTTCCAATATATTTAGAGGCAAGTGTCTATTTACTACTAGTAAAGGCTCAGTGTCATCAGCTTGGCTGTGTGAGCACCCTGAGAGTGGAAGCCAGCCTTAAGCCTTCTGTGGTGCCCAGCAGAGTGACATATGTATGTAAGGAAAGTTTTCCTTCCTATATAGTGCTGACAACCTCCTCCTAATACCACTTTATGATTGTACATGATGTGTTTTTTTTTTTTTTTTTTTTTTGTTTTTTTTTTGAGACGGAGTCTTGCTCTGTAGCCCGGGCTGGAGTACAGTGGCCGGATCTCAGCTCACTGCAAGCTCCGCCTCCCGGGTTTATGCCATTCTCCTGCCTCAGCCTCCGGAGTAGCTGGGACTACAGGCGCCCGCCACCTCGCCCGGCTAGTTTTTTGTATTTTTAGTAGAGACGGGGTTTCACGGTGTTAGCCAGGATGGTCTCCATCTCCTGACCTCGTGATCCACCCGTCTCGGCCTCCCAAAGTGCTGGGATTACAGACTTGAGCCACCGCGCCCGGCTTTTGTGCATGATGTTTTATTGTGATTCACTTAAAACGCTTTTTGTAAAGGGGCAGGGCATCAACTTATTTGTATTATTTTAAAAATTACTATGTAGTAGAGTCCAAGGAGTTCCCACTGATTAATTAGTGTCTATTGTCCATGAGAAGCAGGGCTCCCCTCCAACATTAATTGCTAGGATAAATTTTTTTTTGAAGTGGGGTCTCACTCTGTCTCCCAGGCTGGAATGCAGTGGTGTGATCTCAGCTCACTGCAACCTCTGCCTCCCAGGCTCAAGTGATCCTCCCACCTCAGCCTCCTCAGTAGCTGGAACTGCAGGCATGTACCACCATGCCTGGCTAATTTTTTGGTTGTTATTGTTTTGTAGAGAGAGTTTCATGATGTTGGTCAGGCTGGTCTTGAACTCCTGGCCTCAAGAGATCCACTCACTCAGCCTCCCAAAGTGCTGGCATTATGGGTATGAGCCACCATGCCCAGTATGGAGAAATGATTTTTTAAATAGACTTGTTATTGACACATAACAAACACCACTTTGGGAAGCTGAGTCAGGCAGATCACCTGAGTTCAGGAATTCAAGACCAGCCTGGCCAACATGGTGAAACTTTGTCTCTACTATAAATACAAAAATCAGCCAGGTGTGGTAACACACTCCTGTAATCTCAGCTACTAGGGAGGCTGAGACAGGAGAATCACTTGAACCCAGGAGGTGGAGACTGCAGTGAGCCAAGATCATGCCACTGCACTCCAGCTTCAGCGACAGAGCAAGACTCCATCTCAAAAAACAAAAACAAAAACAGAAACAAAAAAAAGAAAAGAAAAATGACAAACACCAAGCAATCCTGAATCTTATGTGTCTACCTTGGTGAATCATCACAAAGTGAACATACCTGTGTAACCACTATCAAGAGAAACAAATAGAGCCTTGTCAGCTTCCCAAGAGCCCCCCTCCCACATTCCATTTGCCACACGCCCTCCCCCAGAGATTATCATTATAGAGGAAGAAGTATCATCTTGCACTGTGACAGCGCAGCAGATGTTATGTAGGGTAGTCCTAGAAACTTGCCAGAGAGGAGACATTGTTGTATGATGAAACAAAACTCCAGGCTTGGAATAAGCCAAACCTTGATGTGACTTTGAGCAACATCTGTGAGTCTTACTTTTCTTAGCTATAAAATAGGAATGATAATACCTGCCTTATTATTTTTGAGCAAGGATGTTAGATAATATAATGTAAAGCATATATATAAAATATCTGGAATATAGGAAGCATTCAGTAAAAGTGGTTGTACTAGCTGGGCACAGTGGCTCCCAGCACTTTGGGAGGCCGAGGAGGGAGAATCATGAGGTCAGGAGATCGAGACCATCCTGGCCAACATGGTGAAACCCCGTTTCTACTAAAAATACAAAAATTAGTGGGTGTGGTGGCACACACCTGTAGTCCCAGCTACAGCTACTCGGGAGGCTAAGGCAGGAGAATCGCTTGAACCCGGGAAGCAGAGGTTGCAGTGAACCAAGATCACACCACTGCACTCCAGCCTGGTGACAGAGTGAGACTCTGTCTTAAATTTAAAAAAAAAGAAAAAAGTATTAGGGCATGCATCTTGGGTTCCAAAGCGGCTTCAATGGGTGTCACATTCAGTCTCACCTAAAATGATGAGCTTTGTGAGAAGAGCAGCAGCTTCATACACAGAGAACCTCAGAAACACACACACCACATATTTCACAGGCAGAAGTCTGAAGTCCATGGAAACAAACTCACACAACCCGCCTATACAAAAAGCGTGACTTCTATGCAAACATCCCAGTTCTGACTTCCTAAGTTGAATATCTTTTTTCTCTTGAAGGCAATGTATGGGACATGATGAAATTCATTTATATGAAAAACGTACGCCAAATATCATCACAGGCATTGTGTAGCTCTTGCACTTTAGCTGGTCCCGGTAGTTGGAGGCTAACCCAGGCAAGCCCAGGTAACTCTTAGAAGATTCCCGGAGGGTGGGCTGGAAACTGGGAACTGACTGAAAACATTGAGCTCATCCATCATGTGCCTGGAGTTTTTAAATAGAGTTGTTGCCACAAATCTGAATATTTGATGCGACGAAATAATTTAAAACAAATGAGCAACCTGGTTGCTCTTTTCCTCAGAGAACTCTCAGTTCTCTTTTGCCACCAGCTTCAAGAGCCATCCAGGGCAATGGTACGGGGTAGGGGCCCTACTGTGCCAGGGTCTGACCTTGAGTTCTGGGAAAATGAAAAGATTTTCATTTCATTTTCACAGAGAGGGCAAGCTTTTGCCCCAGATACCAGTGAATTAGGACAAAAGGGCTTCAGTTCAAGCACTTACTTCCTAATTCCCCATCACCAGGGCTCTAAGGAACACCCACATACCAGTCTAACTTCCAGAGGGACAAACAGTTCCTAGG